GTATCTGGAAATCTATTTGATGACAATCGATTACGAGGAAATATGTCATTGTTTGACAATTTATTACGAAGAACTATGACATTCCTTGGGTACACTTTTTACTTGAGATTTACCCGTTTACATGACAATTACAATCGATTACGAGGAAATATGACATTTTCCACTGTTTGGATACACTTTATAGTAAAGAAAATTGAAAGAGATTATATGAGATTTCCTAAAAAATCATGAAACACATTTGGCGGTGAAAAGGTAAAAAAGGTGAAAAATCTATTACACCGGTAATCTTGAGAAATCTACCGGTAATCTTTAGAAATCTTTTGCATGCCTCCCTCTACCCTATTCCAGGTTAATAAAATGCCAACCCGCCTACTCGGTTTGCATAGGTGTCCCTCACTTTCTAACCCATCAGTCTCTCTACTTAGCCAGTTTCTTCTCTCTTAAACCTTAATCACCCGTTCTCTCTCTTAAACCCTAATAACGGGTTTGCATAACGTGTTCCCTCTCTTTTTAAGCCCCTATCTAACCTATTCCCTTTCTCTTAAACTCATGTTCTCTCTCTTAAACTCTAATAACTAATTTGCATAAGGTGTTCCCTTTCTCTTTATGCCTCTCTTCTTATCTGTATTTTTTTAGCCCTTTTATGTTTAAGCCCCTTCAGATTTTTTTTAAATCCCTTAGCCCCCTTATGTTTAAGCCCCTTCCTTCCATCCTCTCTCTCTTTATCATATTCATTCTCCTTACCATATCTAATCAATGAAAAATTACACAACACAATTATAAAAAATTTCACCCAACAAAATCATCATAAGATATTAGTAAAAGCTCAATTTAAATAATATACCTCTTTAGTTTCCTTCAATACCTCAAAATTTTCTAATAAAATTACCAAACCTTCTAGTTTACTAATTAAACTTTTTCCCATTTTTTAACTTATATCATAAAGATTTTTAATTTGGTATCATAAATTTATTGCTTATTTGAAATTATATAGATATACATTTCAAATATTTCTATAAAAAATAAATAAAAATAAGGCTTATCACAATAAAAACATGTTATTCCAATCATATTATTCCAATGACTTATCATGTTGAAACCAAATGTTAGAAGACATGTGATTCCATGTGAGTGCCAAAGACATGCAAAGTAAGAAATTGTGTGATGATGACTTTAGAATGGTACATTTATTATTAGAAAATCTTTTTGGAATGGTGATGATGTTGTTATTAGAAAATATTTTTGGAATGATGTGATTATCACTTTAATTTCACATTTCAGTGGAATTTTGTGACAAAAAAATAAAATAAAATGATAGTTTATAGGCAAGTGCTAGTACAACGTTGGTAATGCATTTCTCATATTTCTTGAAGACATAGCTAAACAATAGCCATGTATTTCCCAAGTTGCATCTAAATACTATCCAAACAGTAACATTCCATTTGCAGGTAATAGATTACGCCAGTAATGTATTTCACAGACAATATATTTCCAGGTATCCAAACAGCCCCTCATCGTTTTTTTTCATACCTCTTAAAATGGGTACTATCCCAACTCAACCTTATTATGCCCATCTAATTATGAGAGAAAGAAAGTACCCACAACCTAAAATTTGAGAAATATGAAATTTTAATATATTTGATTATAGCAATATATATTAAAGCAATAAAATTATCATATCTTATTATAGTAAGTATATATATATATATATATAAGAAATAAAATTCAATATAGAGAAAGACATGCATAACATACCTAAGATTACATTTCCATATCTTAACTAGAGAAAGAGAGAGAGATGTCAATATTGATGTTTATCTCTGCATTGTTTTTATGTCTTAAATCGTGCATATCATAACTAAGATTACATTTCCATATCTTAATTAGAGAGAGAATGACAAAAGGATTTCATATTGATACTTATTTCCATATTGTTTCCATGTCTTAATTTGAGAGAGAGAGAGATCAATATTCTTTTCATATCTTAATGAGAGATTTTCAAATCTATCTGTCTCAACAATGTTTCCAAATCTTAATTAGGGAGGCATGAGAGAACAATTTCCATATCCTCCTTATCTTAATATTGTTTCTTCCTATTTTTTAAAGACCTCTTAAAGTTGGTAACAATTAGATGTTGTATTTTTTTATTTTGATCCCACACTTTCTTAAAAGTTGTGCATGTAAGTCATCCCTAATATTTTTTTTCCCTATTTTTTGGTTCAAACTTCCTAAAATGGGTACCTATCCCCAACTCAACCCCCATTGTGCCCAACTAATCCCGAGAGAGATAAAGCTCCGACGATTTTAAAATTTGAGAAATATAAAAATTTACCTATTTGATTATAGTAATACATATAGGAGCAATAAAATTAACCTACCTTGTTAGAGTAAGTATATTTACAAGAGAAATAAAGATTAATCTATCTTATTTTATATATATATATATATATATATATATATATATATATGAGAATAAAATCAAGAGAGAGAAAGATATGCATGTTAAGGAAGGTTTGGATGGAGTTTCTATTTGAGTTATGCAAGGTTGTTTTTTATAATGTCAAAATATTCAGATTATTTTTCTCAAAATATGGAAACATAGTTACCAAAATCAAATGATCCAACCATCATACTATTGGTCGATGTCCTGGCGAATTTGGTCTAGAGTAAAAATGAATTTGGTAAAATTTTTTTTATCAAAACAAGTATTTAATTAGTCTGGTATTTAACTAGTTTTGACCAGTCTAACCAACTAGTTTCAATCAGTTCGATCCGCTAAACAAAGTGGGGATTTTTTTTTGTCAAATATAGTGCACATATTCAAATTACTATTCATGCTTCTTTTTTTTTAATATCTAGTTTTGACGGGACCAAACTCTTTACCAGTTTGGTGCCCAGTCTAATCCTCAGAAAAATAGGTTTTTTTTTTTTTTCTTCTAAGGAAGCAATTCATGAAAGGGTAAGGTTTGCTGCACTAATAAATAAAAATAACAATAATATGCTAGAATATTACAAAAGAGAAGAAATCATGATACATAGGAAATAGTGTTATTAGAATTGAACCGAACAGAAAAAAGTGTTCAATACAATTTAATTAACAACAATTTGACCGGTGATGAAACCGGTCAAACCACTTAAAAATGTTCTAAACTACAAAATGTCTATTTTCACAAGTTCTGTTAAAATTTTGAATTATCTAAAAATGTAATTTATTACTAAACTAATAAACTGAACCAATTTGGGTATGTATTGTGATCCAACAAGTCAGACGATCCAATTCGGTTGTACTTACATGAATGAGGGTAGAGAAAATGAAAATAAAAAGGCAAAAACTTATAAAATCGTCTGTACGTGGGGAAGAGACGTGTAGGCCACTTGTCTCTCCATAAACGTAATATATTTATATATAGCATGCTCCTGCAAGAACACACTACACACATACACTGCTGAACAAATGAATTACTCATATATTGGAATTGTATATTGTGAGATTATTTGTCGTTATTATTAGAAGGCACAATTGTTACTAGTCATTAGATGTCAAATTAGATGGCTTAGGGTGTGATTCAAAGTTTAGGAATTTTGTGTTTTGGAAACTTTGATTCTTGTGAATGCACACTCACAACCACCCGATTTGAAATCTGATGGACAAGAGTAACTGTGACCTCATTGTATTAAAAGTTTATTGTCGGTTTATATATTTTCCTAGATGCATATTTTTTAATCTAAATTTTTGAGATCCAAAGTATTTCTAAATAAATAAAAAGTTGGATTTTGAACTTATAAACAATTAAATATTAACACATCTTCACGAGAAACGCCGAAGAGCTCACACTTGAGTGCTTATAATTTTTTCCTTTTTTTTTCAAGTTGGTCAATATTCCAAGAAAGTTACTTTCGCATAATTTCGGGTCCTAAAAATACTCATAAATGGATTTTAAACATGGGATAAATGAACAATGCATTCCTACACGAGTATATAATCCAAGAAATTTTGAGAATGCAATTCATCTTCCAAAACGTGCCTGATGTGCTTCTCAGTGGAACTTGTGTTGATATAAAAATAGATATGGAAATCTCTCACTGAGATAAGGAAAGAATGTTGATCTCTCTCAAATTAAGATACGGAAACAATGTGGAGATAAGCACTAATATAAAAATATTTTTTTCATTAGGATATAGAAATACAACCTTAGTTATATTATGCATATCTTTCTCTCTTGAATTTTATTTCTCCTATATGTATTATTATATAACAAGATCGGTTAATTTTTATTTCTCCTAGACATATACTTACTTTAGTAAGATAGGTTAATTATGAAGAAAGGACATGAAGAAAAAAAAAGAATTCCAAATCTATAAAATAATACATTTTATAACAAGTTCTCTAGACTGTCTATTTTCAAGTATTTTTTGATTTGCTCAGTATAATTTTTTAATTTTAAAATTTTATAACTGAGGATGAAAAGTTATTTTTCGAGCCAGGTTTTTGGCACCAAAACGACAACTGTGTGTAAATTTTATGGGCTCACCTTATTTGTTTAGTATAAGGAGGCTAGCTTATCCAAACCTAAACCGCACCCGTTACTGTATTATGTAAAAGGAATTTTGCAACAATTGAACTGGGTACGTATACTATGGTCCTGCAGTAGCAGCAATGTGCATCTACTCCCACACTCAAAACAACTATTTAAGAAGATTTTTTTAGTCCAAAATTTTGGGAACCACATGAGATGAATACTTTCAAAAGAAAAAATTTGAATATTAAATCTTGTGACACTTAGATCTAGCCATTCAAAACATGGAGAGCCTCTATTCAATATTGAGGCATTAGTTTAGTCTAATACTTAAATAATATTTCAAAAATCCCTGCAGAGATTACATCTCAAAAATTTGAGATCAAAACAATATCCCTAACCTTTGTTTTGCCCAAGGGGAAGGGACTTTTTTCCTGGTACAGGGGCATGTCACTATGTAGGAATCAAACCCAGTATACCCTATACAAAGCAAACTAAACGCGCCATTATTATTACATTTCATAACAATCATACAAAACAAACATAATACAAGCTTCCCGTATTACAAATCCTGGGTTTGGGGTTTATCCAAAACCCCTCTCCCACTCTCTCTCTCCCCTCCAAAATAAGGGGAGAGGTTAACTGTTTTAACTGCTGATGCCTCCATGTTTCTCCCCCTATACACCATTCAAATTCATTTTTGATAATAAAGTGAGCACTAACCCTCCTCAGAGCCATTGAAAGTCTCTCTCCTCCTCAAGGACTCTAACACCTGAGAGCAGTTGCTCTTTCTACTTGCATCACTCAAAGAACCCTTCAACTTTGGTATGCTCATCGTGCCAAGGGGCGGCGTCGATGTCCCCCCATTCACATCCTTAAGCACCACATTCACAGTGGCAGCCGCTGCCATATCGGCCACTGCTGACACAATTCTCTCACTATTCCCAAATTCTCCCTCTAAATCACCACCACCAACATCAGTAGATTTTACAGCACTACTGCAATTACCTCTATTACTAGACTCACCCCTGAAGAGACCATCAACATAACTACTAGACTTCAAATTACCATTGCTCTGAACTCTACTACAAATATTAGACCTAGAAAATCCTTCACCACCAATACCATTAGGCCCCAAATTAATACCATCACCACCAGCATCAATACCAAGATTAGGCTTTGGGCATGGACCACGAATACCACTGTTGGAACATGAAAGCCTGCAATTTGGAGCAACTGAAGGTTTAGCAGCCTTATAAATTCTGTCTCCACCAATACTTGTAGGCCTTGAATGGCTACCGCCACCATTATTAGCTTGGGTGTCAGACGTTTTGCCAACTGATGAATGATATCCACCTGACCTGCGTATCGTGGCCATAGCCTCAACCACTGTGGACTTGGCCTTGGATGCCTCGTACTTGCGCATATCATACAAAATCTCCTTTTGGAGCTGCTTATCAGCTAACAATATTTCGTCAATCTCATTGTTATATTCTTTGAGGAGAACACGAAGGCACTCCATGAGGCAACCCAAGAGAGGGCTATTTCGGCTTTCAAGTACTTTCTTGAGCTCTATGAAAATGGGGATGGCATTCTGAACCAGGCTCTTCTTGGCCACTTGGCTCACCACCCTACCTTTGGCCACCGTAAAGGCACTAGCTGCAGGTGGAACACCTTCTTCTTCGAGGTCTGTGGCCAATGGGGTGTTGCGTGCACTTTGCAGGCGCATCTCCTTGCAGGCAAGTATTTGCAGGGCATCCTGTTGCAAAGTTGGGAAATAGTTTGCAAAAATGCACTCTATTTGAATTTGCTTAACATCAAAAGGAAACCTTTGTGTATATAGGGTGGCAACGGGTTTGATAGGGTCCGCGTCAATCTATACCCACACGCAACCTGACTATCTTGGACATGGACCTTGGACCCAGGTCAGGGCCAAGTCATTTGGACCCGGACCAAGGTTTAGAAATTTTAAAATAAAAAAATCTATTTTATAAATTATTAAGCACATATGTTTAACATATTTTATATGGAAGAAGCTATTATCAGTCCATAGATTATGTAAGCCCAATAGCCCATCTTAAATCTGAAGCGATCCAATGATCACGATTACATTTCGTATTTGAATTATAATGTTTTTTTTCTACAAATTCAAATCACATTAAATTTGGAGTGTCAATTTTTTCAAAGTAGTAAAATCTAATAAAAATATCAAAAAAATAATTCACAAAAATAAATTGACCAAAATATCTTTAAAAATTTTCAGGGGTATTTTATCAATTTATTTTTTGTGAATTATTGTTTTAATATTTTTATTAAGTACGTTTGATTAGAGAAGTGAATGCTCCAAATTTCTTGTTATTTGGATTTATATAAAAATTATTAAAATTATATTACAAAATATAATCGTGATCGTCAGATCAACCCAAATTTAATTTGAACCGTTGGGCTTACACTATTCCACTGGGCTGACTTTAGTTTTTTCCATGTTATATATTTTTTACTGGGTTGGGTCCAAGTCAAGGGGCAGGTCCACCTGACCTAATCCCAACCTAATGGGGCACAAAACATGGACCCGTACCCGGACTCAGACCCGGACGACCCACCCCTTTGTGACCCAATTCGCACCCTTTTGTGTGTGTATTTATTTTTGTTCGGGGATATTGGGGGGGGGGGGAGGAGAGAGAGTGTGTGTATATAAACACAACCTTAAGAACAGATTTTCCGGTTGAATCATTAAGGTCCAGCAAACCGTCAGCAGCTGCAGCAAGGATCTCAGCGCAGAGCTTGGCAGAGGTAGCCAAGAGGTGCTCTGGTGCCATTTGTTTAAGAAGAGAGACGTATATGTGCATGCGTTGAGATTGAGTTTTCTCATCTGGCCCCCTACAACAGCAGAAGAAACCAGTAAGCTTTTCCCATCCAGAGTGGAAACCATTAGAAATAACCTGGAAGACCTTTAACTTGGAGTTTAATGAACTAATTGAATGGAATGACTCCAGTCAGTGCGACTGAACTAATTGTGATTGAAGTACAGAGACATCTGGAGAAGATGGTCGTTTTCCATTTCCCTTAAAGGGAAATGGACATGAACTAATTGTGATAGAAGTACAAAGAGATTTGGAGAAGATGGACTTGCTGTATGCTTTAAAAGAGGCGTGTGGTTTGTATAATGTTGCAACTCTAAACAATCCAAGTAAAGTGCACCTACAAACATAAAACCACTCATGAGGGCTTTGCAGCACGAGCAAAGGACACGTCTCTAAACAATCCAAGTAAGGTACACCTACAAACATAAAACCACTGATGAGGGCTTTGCAATGCGAGCAAAGCACTCATTTTAGAGTGCTTTTATGTGTTGCATGCAAAAAAAAAGCCCCCCAACAATTGGAAGTTGCTTCGCACTCACAAAGCCAGTGGTAGCAAGGTCAAACTATTGGCTGAGCTTTTTGCTCTTGCAAAGCAATCTCAAACTCAAAGAGTACTTTGCTGCCCCTTAAGGAGGGACTTGATGTCTAAAGAGTGCTTTGCTGCGCCCTAAGGAGGGATTTGTTGTCTATGTGTAGCCTATGCGGAACATCAACTTGCTCCGCTAAGCGCTCATTGCACTTTAGCACTTTTTTTATTATGATGATACTTCGACTAGGACAAAATAGCATTGATAGCCTCTACTCGTGTCCTAGCTCGTCTAAGAACTAAATTCGCATCAATTGTTTGTCTCTTGCCTTCAGTTCTACTCAGGTTAGTTTCAGCTATTTCAAAAGTTTGCTAAGCTTCCTGCATATCAATGTCTTGCGGATCAATGTCACTAACCTTCTCCGCATCATTTTATTATAATTTTGGTGTCAAAAAGTTTTAGAATGGTCTTATAGTCCATTTTCATCTCTAACTATGAATCTTAAAACTCCAGAAATGGAATCAAGTAGACCTATGAACACGTGAAAATCTTGAAAATTGGCAGTCTAGATAATGTGTTGCAAGATGCACTATTTTTGAGACCCGAAATCTTTATTTTTCACATATTCATATACCTTAATGTCGTATGATCAATTAGAAGGTTTTCCAACATCAAAACAATCTTTTTCGATAGATTTTTGAGGTGCACCTTAATTCTACCTTTTAAGGTTGAGACTTTATAAAAACTTTTCCTTAAAAGAATAGGCATTCTTCTGAAAATGACCACAAGGCCTCCCTCTCTCTCTTTCTCTCTCTCATGCAGGGCGTTATGCAGTTACTGGATGAGGTTATTGTTACTGCAGAGAACCCAAGGGGGAGCTTATATGTAGTAGCAACGATACTTACTCTTTTCTGGTTTTCATGGAGCTTTCTATAAAATCCAAACTTAATTTGTAGTTCACGTTTTTCTCCTTCAGCAAGCAAAACAATAAGAAAATTCATCACCATGGATATCAATTATAAACTACCATCACCTCAAAGAGAAGAGACGAGACTCTGAATGCGAGCTTTGGTATTCACTATGTCCCCCATGGGCATCACAACCATTCAACACAAATATGGCTTCCACAAAGCTATTATATGCCAGCAGAGGCGCCTTTGCTGCACAAGAATCCCACACAGTAAACTACTTGTCCTCTCTCTCTCTCTC